TGCGCCGCGCCGGGCTCCGCGCCGGGCTCCCTGCCGGGCCAGGCGGTTCTCCGTCCCGGCCGTTCGGTGCCGAGAGCCGCGCACCCCTGGACGGACGCAGGGCAGGGCAGGGCAGGGGGAGCCGGCGCTGCGGGCGAGGCGCGGTGAAACCCGGAGGCGCGAGGTCGGGGGGGGGGCTTTGGAGGTAAGTGTTTGGAGTAGAGCTCAGCCCTCCGGGCTCCCCGCAGCCGCCGGTGCGGTCTGTAGATGGAGCGCGTTCTTACACCTGCGTGCAAAGCCGGAGCTACGGCACGACCCGAGCTCTTGCTTCGTGCGGCTCCCGTGTGAGCGGGGGGAGGGCGGGGAGGAGACGGGGCTGGCGGCGGAGCCGGCGTTTTGCGGCGAAGTACCATGAAAGTAGGTGAAAACAACCGGAAAGGGTTTCTGGCTTGCTTCTTCCTTTCCCCCCTGTCGCCTGCCTCCCTCCGCCGGCATACGTGTAAGAGCACACACGTGCTGGTGATTTAAGGAGAAGTTTAAAGCGTCCGGTTTGCTTTGTGCGCGTTCGGGGCTTGTGAAAGTTGCTAGCTACGGCCTGAGCCGCGAGGAGAGGGCACCGCTGAATGCTCAGCCGTGGGCTGAGCCAGTCCCCCCAGACCTGTGCTCCGGGAGGTGCGGAGCATCCCTCGGGGAAGCCTGTGCGGGCGAGGAAGGAGCGCTTTGCGAGCAGGCGGCTGCATGGTAGGGTATGTCAGGGAGCTATTCGGAGTGACAATTCATTAACGTCCAAATTAGATTAACTTACTACATTCATTATTTACAGGCAAAAGAGAGTAATGACAGTCAGTGGTGAATTAGCAGCTTCGCTCCAATGTAAATATCTGTTGGAGTAAGAGCATACACTGATTCTGATCACATGTTGGTAGAAAGTCAGGTCCATTAATCGTCAGGGAAGGAAGGAGACCTGAGGGGATGTCTTACTGAAACCACTTTTACCTTTTACAGTGCAACGTTCAAAAGCGGATCAGATCTGTGGGACATGGCACAAGGAAATAATTATGGGCAAAGCAGCAACGGGGTGGCTGACGAATCCCCAAACATGCTGGTGTACAGAAAGGTAAGCCCTTGTGCTTTTTCAAAAGCTGAGGAAGGGACTTCAGGAAATGGTGAAATCCTGGACGCTTTTGCCTGGCAAGTGCGGCCATTATTTTTGCTGTTTCTCTCCAATTTCACGAATAGATGCTGCTGCTGTGCTTTGTGTTGAATGGAGCAGTGTGATTTCGGAACACGATCACCTGCCAGTAATTTGGGATGTTTTGTGTCTATTGACATTTGTGCTGCCTAATGCAGTTTAAATGGTATGTGCAAAGTAGATCTATATCCCAGGTACTACTAGATTGGAAAATGACTGGCTCTGTTGGTTTAAATGGTAAAATACACACACGTGTCAACTTTGCATCATGTTCAGAAACAGTTGGTTTTCAGTTTGAAATACTTGATGTACTTCATTCATTTTCTGCATTGATACATATGATATGTGATGGTGGCAATGTGCCAGAGACTGGAACACAATTTGAATTCAAGTGTTCGCTTGTAAAATCTATTTGTAAAATGAATTCACGTATTTAAAGCTAAATATTAACTGTATGGTACAATATTTTGTATTTCTGTCTCTGGGCAAAGATTTTCAGAGTGCAGGCAAGCCAGAACCGTTAACTTATTTCATATGAGGGGAAAAAGTGATTAAAGATATTACTTATCTGCAGTTGCCACAACCTAAAAAACCCCCAAACACATACACTCCAGGGATTCTGTCTGGGAAGGATTTCTAATGTAGTTATTCTAATAGCATCAATATACAAATTTCCAGGCACTGAACTCCAATAGTGGGGCTTATTTAGCCACTGTGCTTTCACTTCAGTGACAGTAAGTGCTTGGGGATTTTGAGAGTGGGTTTTTTTACATGTTTGTTGTTTTTTTTTTTTTTTATAAAGCTTTAATTGCATTTATCAAAAAAGAATAACAAAATAAATTCTAATAATAATGGAGAAAAAAACCTTTGCTCTGACAAGCTGAAATACATAATTATGCAACTACTTGTTTATTCCTAGAACACAGTGCTTTCTAACTTGTTTGTGGTTGTTTTTATCAGGTGGAAAAAATCAATATTTTTACTTTGTTAGAGGCATTGACTTTTCCTTTTGCAAGTTAACTGTAATAGAAAGCATCTGATATGTACTCAGTTTAGTCTTTGAGGTGAACTGAGGTATCATCGGTAACTGTGGTAAGTATTCTTTTCCCAGAAATTAAAAAAATAGACTCAAATTGAAGGCTGATGCATGCTTTTTTCTCTTCCTATTTTCAAATACGTTGCTGATCTCAGTTAGTTGGTTGTACTTGCTATTTTGAAAAATTAGGCTCTTTTTACATAAGTGAATGAATTTATGAAATTAACCTTGGTTATCCATCTATGTAAGAATGCACACCTAGAAAAATATGGGCTTACCTTGCCGTTAACGCCACAAGTGTGTTTGAAAACGCAATTGTATGCATGAATTTATATGTGAAAATATACTGCATATATTAAAAGCAATATATCAAAGCTCATCTTGTTCTTCATAGGTTTTTGATCTTTCTAAACAGAATCTTTCCACATTTGTCAGAAAGAAGTCTTTTCTCATCTTATTTAGTACATGGAGGGGGAACGCAGAGAAACTGTTTCTCTTCTGCTGTGGTGACTTCGTCTGAGGAACGGGTCAAGCTTGTGACCCATTATATTTAGTGTGACCTTATGCCAAAATTTAACATTACCCCTAAGCAGCCTCCAGACTGAAATGGAACTGCCGAGGAAAGTGATGAGAATCCTGGTGATGCAGGGGAAATTTGAAAATGGGGAGCAGGGATAGGGCACAAAACCTCAGGTGTATGCTCAGCAAATCAAAGCATCAAACACCTTTTCAGTTCTCTCTAAATCAGCGGTAAAGGGATAATACCAGTTTCTGTCTTCCAGTGTAGCAGTGCTCCTTCCCTTGTTATCACTAAAGTGCAAGTGGTACACTGAGTATTAAACTTCTGAAGAACGCTGACCTTCTACAGCATTACCTGCCATATTTATTTTTGTACATGTCAATTTATTTTTGTAGCATGGTGAATCAAAAGATCATTTAAGATTGTGCACACTGGTGTTAGAGTACTAGAGAGAAAACCAAGTAGTCCTTCCTCTGGCAGTATTCAAGGAGTAGGCAACAAAATAATAGAGAACTTTTTAAAAAGTTACCTGCCTTTTTCTGCAGTATGATATTGCTGTAATCAAATGTGTTATAAATTCTCTGTCTAGAACTTAACAGGAGGATAGTTAGGTGGAAATCATTTCACTTCAGAATATATAATCTCTGAATATAATTCTTGATAGCAACAACTAAATCACAGGATTCCTGTAATACATTTGAAAACACAATACTCCTCTGTCTGTCATTGTGTTGGAAATGAAAACACTGTGCAGAGTGAACAAAGAACTCGATCTGCCAGCTTCATGAAGGACTCTTTTTTTTTTTTTTTTTTTTTGGCCAACTGGAAAAGTATTAATAGTCGTTAGGAAAAAAAAAGTGTAAGCATGCTATTGGCTGGCTTCAGAAGGAAACTGGATTTGAAGTCTTATATTTTGAATAACGTTGCTGAAATCCACAAATGTGGAAATGCTTTCTTCCAGTAGTTTATACAACATCAACTCATGGAATAGCACACATTTTGTGGTATGTGTACCTGCAAGGAATAGATGGGACATCTCTTACTACTTGTGTTAATGAAGAACTAGAGTGAAGACCATTACTTTGGCTATAAAACACAATTTTGTAATCTGGTAATTCTGCTCGTCTCTCTAACTTTCAGGCATAATCTGAATTAACTATGTTCTAAGCTACATGGAGTTACAGCCCTGGGTTTCCTAAATCCTGATTCTGTCAGGAGCATTTTATAGAAAATTCTACACAGAATGAAGTTCTGGTGTTTACAAATTCAGTAGTTAAGTCTTGAATCATTACAGAATCATTATTGCACTTTAAGTAAATTGCACACTCTTGACAAAAAAGGCTGTTCTATTTTTTTAAATGTATTTGGTTTGTAATTAGTTACTTATTTGAAGGGTTGAAGAAAGATGGATTATCAAATTATAATCTAGAGTAATATAGAGTGTAGATAGCCTGTTATTCTCATAATAGCTTGTATTCCTAGACAAAGAAGGGTTTCATTGCATTCTGCTCTCAGATATGATTTTTTTTTAAAGTCAGCATAGGATAACTAAATATTCAATGCATACATAACTTAGAATTATTTATTTGAATCTGTGATGGAAAAGACAACAGCACAGATAAACAGTTCCTTATATCATTTTTACACTGCCTTTTAAGATGCTCGTGTCAGTGTTTTTATGCCTTGGGGAATACTTTTTTATTTTAACAGAATGTCAGCTGCATTATTCTTTTTGGCTATCACCCTAATTATAAAGTAATGACATGTGACACATCATTGGTACTGACATACCTTAGAAAAAGCCCTAAATTTTTCTGCTAGTAGCCTGAGGCAAACATGAAAAATGTAAAAGCCCTGCTTTTACTTCCTCTCCAACAGAGTCCATTCCAGTCAGCAATTAAAAGAGATAAGATGCTAGAATCCATAGTATTTTAACATCACAAGTTGCTCATACAAAAATCTCAGATTTCAGCAACACTGACTTACTGCTGCAAGCTACATCTTAAAGAAGAAACTTGGATGTAATATAAGGCCCATATTGTGCAGCTTTTCTAAGTTTCTGAGCCTGACCTGCCTTTTTTTTTTCCTTTTTAATCTCATGCATGGCACAAATAATTAAAATAATAAGAGGCGTCTTTGAGGAACTTCCATTTTAGACCTACTGCTGGTCCTGCTAAACCTTTGCTTATCTGTCTGGTCTGTACTTTGCTTACTTTTTTAGTCAAACGTATGCTGCAAGGATTAGGAGTTCTAATTTGTAAGTTTAATGGTTATTGTATTGCTGTCTGAACTAGCTTCGTTTGAGAGGTGATAGCTTTATTTTGTAGCAATAAGATTAGCCTTGTCTGAATAGTAATATTCTTGTGACTGAGACTTTGATTGTCTACCTTCCTCACTGCCCCGAGTGTTAAAATAGCTTTTGCCAAAGCTGATTAGAATTTCTAACAGTTGGGCCTTTCAATGCTGTAATGACGATAATGAGGTGTTTGTTCTGTTCTTGTGACAATTGTTGAAGGTCATATATGCCAGTACTCATGTATAGCAAGTGCTGAATTTGTAATCTCAAGCTCCTTCTTAGTTTACCATGATCATAGAATCATAGAATGGTTTGGGTTGGAAGGGACATTAACGATCACCTAGTTCCAACCCCCATGCCTTGCGCAGGGACACCTTCCACTACACCAGGTTGCTCAAAGCCCCATCCAACCTGGCCTTGAACACTTCCAGGGATGGGGCATCCACAGCCTCTCTGGGCAACCTGTGCCAGTGTCTCACCACCCTCACAGTAAAGAATTTCTTCCTAATATCTAATCTAAATCTAACCTCTTTCAGTTTAAAACCATTACCCCTCGTTCCATCACTACACTCCCTGATAAAGAGTCCCTCCCCATCTTTCCCGTAGGCCCCCTTTAAGCACTGGAAGGCTGCTGTAAGGTCTCCCTTGGAGCCTTCTCTTCTCCAGGCTGAACCAACCCCAACTCCCTCAGCCTGTCCTCATAGGGGAGGTGCTCCAGCCCTCCGATCATCTTCATGGCCCTCCTCTGGACCCACTCGAGCAGGTCCATGTCTTTCTCACGCTGGGGGCCCCAGAGCTGAGCACAGTACTCCAGCTGGGCTCTCATGAGAGCAGAGTAGAGGGGGACAATCACCTCCCTCGACCTGCTGGTCACGCTGCTTTTGATGTAGCCCAGAATGCAATTGGCTTTCTGGGCTGCAAATGCACATTTCTGGCTCATATTCAGTTTTTTATCCACCAATACCCCCAAGTTCTTCTCTGCAGGGCTGCTTTCAATCCACTCATCACCCAGCCTGTATTTGTGCTTGGGATTGCCCTGACCCATGTGCAGGACCTTGCATTTGGCCTTGCTG